TCCACATAAATTCTTTTGGCTAGGAGGTTATCAAATTATTCCCTTTACATAAAAGAGCTGACAGACAGACAACTAGACAAACAAAAGGACATTTGTAGGGAATCAGCATCTCAATGCCAGGTCCTATTAAACCATACTCCTTAAAAAGTTTGTAGAGATTCAAAAAATAATTTCCTTTATTTCTTCGTCAAAAGCGGAAAGGAAGAAACTTGCTTAATACATTAATATTGCTACATATTCACGCCAAACTATTGAGTGATTAAAGCACAATATACTTTTTTTACTCCAAAAAAAAAAAATCAAAATTTCATATAAAATTAGAAGTCTCTTTTTTTAGATCAATGGTACTGCAAATGACAACCCTTAAGTAAACTTTACATGAACTCATGCAGGAAGATTCATTCATGTTAGCAAGAATGGCCTTCTGGATACAAGCAGATCCTTGATTGGATCCAATGATTGTTTGGTGTACAATGCTGGCTTCAGGATATTGAGCGATTCTAATTGCATAACGCTCACATAAAAGTAATAGGCTAATATTACAGGTGCTTTTTGGCCGTAAACCACTGCCTTAATTAGATATAGCACTGATGTTCAAGACCTTAAAAGTGCATGCAGTTCATAATTTGACTACATATTTTTTTTCCCTTCGTTAATGGTGTAAAACTCCCCTCGGCTGTCTTTTCCTAGAGAGGAACTTGTTTCAAGTTAGCTTCACAAATTACATTTGATCACAGTAAATTCAAGGAAAGTGGATGCAAATTGGAATAAAGTTCTATTCCTGCATCTTAATGGAACAATATCTACACTTTCCTCTCTGTGGTAGTCAGAAGTAATTGTCCTGATATAGCTTGTCGTGGTTCTTCTTCATTCCTTTTTTCATTGTAAGGCCAGCATTTTTTTATTTTTAGGTTTACGAACATCAGAATGAAAAAGTCCCGTAGGAGGAGGAAATTAAAAAAAAAAAAAAAATTTTTTTTGGATACATTATCGACTTTTCTACATTAATTTTTGCTTCTTTTTTTATGCTCTCCTAACAGGCTCCTTGCCACTGGACACATAAGGGTTACAAAGGGGAAAATAGAACCTTTAATTGTTTATTTCATCATCTACCAGTTTGGGCCAGTGATATAAATGATAAATCTTGTGATGTTGTTCAAAATACAGATTTAAAAAAAACAACAGTTTTTAAAAACTCTTTCAATATATATGTATCTTCATATTTTTAATATGTACATGTATTAGGTGAATGTGTTGAAATTGTTCTTTATATACTTGAGACCTAAAATAATAATTCCTTTCTTAAAACAGACAGGGAGTATTGGGGAGTAAGATGGAATTTTTTTTTCAATTTGAATTAAGTGTAAAATAATTTTCCTGGCTGCCACAAACGATACTACATGCCTGTATATATTTGTAATTTTGTATATACTTGTTTTTAAATAGTTGAAATATTTTGTTTCTTTGGGCAAAATTATTGTTTATTTCTTCCTCAAATGGACTTAATCTCTCACATAGTTTTATTCAGTACATCTCATGCATAAGCGACCATCTTCTGAAGAATGATGCTGAGACTGAAAGCTATAACAGATACTTAAACAATGTCTTTGACAAAAGCTATCATGGGCAGTTTTAAACCTGTGGGAGGAAAATAATTTACAGACTGTGAGACAGATGACAGATACTTTTGAATACAGATACAAAATTATCTCACCGACATGTCATTCTGCAACAAAGTTGTCAGCACTTTATTTGTTCTCTGAATGAGTGAAACGTTTTGAATGGCACTCCTATCGATAAATATTTACATTAAACCAAGGTTTAGTGCTGCTATGGACTTGACAAATCTACCTTCGTTACCGCCATCATGCATTTTAAAACCGGAAGTACGAGTTCGTAAATTTGAAACCTCGATCCCGACTCAAATTTGACATCGGAAAGAAAAAAATCTGATTTTCTCAATTTTATTTTTTTTCTGAAAATTCAAAAACTTGAGCGGCGGGTTTGTAAACCTAAAAATAAAAAAATGCTGGCCTAAGCCTCATTAAAAACCCTTCCCCCGTTCTAAAACAAATACAAAGAAATCTGCCTTTTATGATTGTGTGTTCTCTGGTGTGTTGTTAACCTGCAGCTGCAATCACACACTGAAGCAAATTATACCCACTCCCACGTAATGCATTGATTCTATTAGAATGACAATATATTTGTATTCAATACTTTGCCAAGGTTCTGAAAGATTCTTTCTCACTCTTCATTATAAATGTTTTTACCTAAGAGGCTCATAGGTATAAGGTCTAAATACTAGCCTGGGTATCTAAGATTCTCAAATTATGACCCACCAGTGTAAAGAACTTTGAACCCAACAAATCTTATAATCTGTTTATCATCACATTGCATGAAGGTTGTCTTCTAGAGGCTAATAAGAGAGATGAAGATTTTAAAGATATACTGCATTTTTAAATTATTGGTCAACATAGCAATCTTTACCCTAGGATCAGGGTACACAAGTTTCACAATTTTAGTAAACGGCTTACTGCTCACAGGTATCTAAACACCCTGTGTATGTCAGGCAAAAAATATTTTTAAAGATTTAAATAGTTGATTTTCAAATTAGGAACAACATATTCCTACCCTTCAGCCAGATTTATACTGAATCTAAAAGACAAAACAATAAAAAACAAAACAATAAAAACTGGAGACCAACACCCTGAGGTTCAAATTGCGGAAGATTCTCACGTGTGGATACCGAAATCTAAAAGATTGGAATTATTTTTTACGAAGTAAATGATCTGCTCGATCTGTAACAAAATGTAAACTGTTTTCCTGCTATAGGTTTCCCCAAGCAAAATATAATGAGTTTTTAATATAAGTGACTATTTTTGTCCTAAGGCCATAATAAAAATATTCCTAGATTCTCATCCCCGCCCGCCCCGATTTTATACCCCGCCTCGATTTTTTTAATTTCTGTTTTTCTTCTTCTTAATTCTGATCGGGATCGGTATTCATCTACCATTCTACTTTCGTTTTAAATTCCGCGAAAGTCGACATGATTTTGACAGCTGAAAAAATGGTAATTGCTGTAATACATGCGTATATATTTTAAACAAGGGTTGTTGGTTGAAAAAGCTCGGTGATGATGTGAAGTAAGAGATAATTGAACCTTTACTATGACTTTTATGCGGGTATTGTAAATAAAATTACACCGATTGACCAGGTCAATAAAAAATCTGCAGAATTGAAAAAATAAAAAATATAAAATAAAAGCCGCCCGCCCGCCTTGATTTTTAAAAAAATTCGGATGAGAATCTAGCAATTTATTTATTATGGCCTAACCTTGAAATTTCATAACACATTGTTCAAGAAAACTGTACTTACTTAATTACTCAAGGGACTTAATATATGTACTTTAAATATCAAACTTTTATGGGATCAAATGAAGACAAATGAACTCTGAACTAGAAATCTCAAAAACAATGTTCAATTTTTCCTATTTCAGCAATGCATGTGCAGACTATTTTCTAGAGAATACAATCAGCGATCAACGTAGCATGTTTAATAGATGTCACACGAAATCCATATATTTATATTACCAGAATCTACATCTACTCAAAGAAACATAAATTTTACTTATGGTAAATGCGTGCCAGTCTACACGTGACACACTGTAGCCAGGTGTAAGTAATCACCAGGGCGACTCATTGGAAAAGGTTAAGGAAGACACTCATTTGGAAGGTAATTAGCAATAATGGGATATCATGTTACCAGCTCTGAAAATCAATACCCATCTTCCCCACATCAGAAGATATAATGAAGAATAGAAACTATGGAGACAAATAATGATGTCTGTCCTAGCTTTTCAATAAAAAAAAAAAGAAAAAGAAGTGAATTCTTACAAATTTGTTAATCAGGGATTGTCATTTGTAAATCATAACAATGATTTTACCAAAGTGAAAGAGAAACGGTTCTTGCAATCAGTTACACCTTTTCAGTCAGGAAGAAAGAGCACAACACATGACCAGAAATGAAGCTTGCTCCATTTAAAATTTTAATTCTATCCATTCACTTTCTCAGAAACCAGTGTCTGTCATGATTTCTGTAGAAGTATCACAGAAAATACAAAACGAAACCAAACCCTTCATTAAATACAAGATTTAGAGTTATTATGAAAAATAATTCAAAGAAAGCAAAACCATCTAAATTCTGAAGACAGTAATTTTTCATTTTGTTGTTATGTCTTCTCCAAATAATGCAGGATTAGATTTATCAGGTTCTACTGAACTTATTTATTTCCATAAAAAGTTAGAAACAAGATGTGTTTGTGAAACACTATGCGCCCGGCGGTAACAAAGTTCAAGAAAACTTTTTTGCAGATAAGTTACAGGTAACAAGGTCATCGACATTGGTGTCATTTGAAAGAACTTTACTAGTGGAGTATGCATACCAAATATGAAGTATCTATCTCTCATGGTTAAAAAGTTATGGCGAAAAGTCTAAAAAGCTATTTTTAGCATATAGGTCACAGTAAAGGTCACAAGGTCATGACCTTGGTGTCATTTGAAAGAACTTTATTAGTGGAGTATGCTTATCAAATACAAAGTCTCTATCTCTCATGGTTCAAAAGTTATGGTGAAAGTTCGAAAAAGCTATTTTTTAGCATTTAAGTCACAGTCAAGGTCACAAGGTCATTGACCTTGGTGCCATTTTAAAGAGCTTCATTGGTGGAGTATGCATACTAAATATGAAGTCTCTACCTCTCATGGTTCAAAAGTTATGTTGAAGGTTAAAGTAGACAACAGACAGACAAACAGACAGGACAAAAACAATATATGCCTCGGATCTATCGTTCCGGGCACATAATTAAAGGGGATAAAAACCATCTTGTCTACAGACAGAAACACAGATGGACACACAGATTCCAATTTATATATCCACTAAATTCTTTTTTTTTTTTGGGGGGGGGGGGGGTATAGTAAGTTGTGCAGTAGTTTCAGCTTTCTGACCTTGACAGTGAGTTGTAGCCTTCAGGGTTGACAGACATGGTCCTCTCCAGGGCAGCAGGACGAGATGGCTGTAGATTATAAGAAATGAAGTCCTCAAAGCAGTACAGCTCTGGTTCCGCCTCTTCCCCATCCTCACACCTAAAATTTTTAAGGTTTATCAGTATCGCTTTCTGTAAGTCGGATGTATTTTTTAAGCTTATATTAGAGGTACTGACCTTCTAAAATACCAGTCTTTTTATAACTCACCTATAAGTCGGACCTAAAGTTTTGGACCAAAGTTTAACTCCCAAATTTCCGACTTAAAGGATAGTATATATGGTAGTTTGACAAGACAGGCAGATTTTTAATAACAATTCATAATTCTATCACAGAAAGAACTGATTCATTATTTGGGCTTGGCTGATAATATTAAGGAGAAACAAAACACTTCATTTCTTACCAGAGATGAATCACTGAAGTAAGAATACTTCTTTATTGGTCTACTGAAAATTCTATGATTCAGCTCCAACTATAGTCTCTCAAAAACTGCTGACTCTATCTTCTCAGCTAAGCTGCATAAATCATCTTACTCACACTGAATAACTATGAAACAAGATATCTGTCTAAATTTTTGCTATTGTAAATTCCCTATAAAGACTGGCCAATACTGTCAACAAGATAATGCTTGTAGCCAAAGACTTTCTTGCTTTCCAGAAAATTCATCATTGCTACTGTGATAAATTCATGAACTCAATACACTTCAAGCTAAATTAAGCTTCACTAAAACCTATTATTTTGTTAACAAATCAGTTAAAAACAAGTATGATTTTTAACTTTTAAATTCTTTCTCAATAATTTTAAGAATTCCAACAATATAATGTGCTTTGAAATGAAAAACACTATGTTCAAATCTTAAAAAAATTATAAGTATATAATTATAAAACATCCTCGAACTAAATAGTAGTTTTCGATCTGATAGCTCAGAACAAACAGTTCGGTTCATGTGTCCAACAATGTGCATGTGTCTCAAGGATCTTGTTTTAAATAAGGTATAATATGTTACCCACACAAATACTTTTGTGATGTGTCTTTGGGAGATTGGACAATTAGTTGAATTCCCAAAATTAATTACAAAGATTAGTAAAGATCTACACTCTGATGAATTAACTTGAAAAAATCTTTCTAATGATGAACAGTCACAGCATACTTATAGATATCCCTTTTCCTCTTTCATTCTTTATAGTTCGGTACTTTCAATTTTTTAGAACGATTCCTTCTACCGGTTATTTACTGGTTCAGATTCATCCTCATTAACCCATTTTCATGAACGTTATTGTTCGTTGACTTTAAAATTCAATCATTCACTGCTTTCCCGGTGCCTGGGAAGGTCAAGCAACATATGAGGCCAATGGCCCCGATATTCGTAAAATAATGGAGTTGAGAGGAAAGATATTAGGGCCATAATAATAAATTACATAACAGTACTTAGTACGATGCCATGATCAGATTTATGCAAATATCTCTGACAACCAAATTGAGAAAAAAATTAAATATCATAAGGTTTCATAATCATGATAATGACAAGTGGAAATGATTATACATCTCACTTTTCATTTTCTATAGGGCCAACTGTGATGATTCAAAAAGTGCTCAGTAACACACAGTTTTCTCATTTATAATCTCCTCTTCATCCAAGGGTGCTTTGTATTAAGTTTGGTTAAAATTGGCCAAGTGGTTCTTGAGAAGAAGTTGAAAATGTGAAAAATTTACAGAAGGACGGACAGATGGACAGCTAACTAGACAGGCAGACAAAGAGACAGACAGATGGCAGACAACGGATGATCAGAAAAACTCACTTGAGCATTCAGCTCAGGTGAGCTAATAAGATATAAACCTGCAAATGTTAGAAATTCTAAAAGCAAGGGATCTGCTACTACAAATATATCTATGACCAAAAATTCACTACATAGAATGCATGTGCAATATAAGCTTAAGTATGTAAAGAAAAATTAAAATTTAGTAGGAATTTTTTTTTTTAATCTAGTATCCCATTCCATGAAAGAAATATTGACTTTAATAACAAACCCTGTATATAACTAGCCACTTCCATTTAATAGTCCCAGACATATGTGAATATGAAAGAATCATCAAGACCTCCTAAGTTATCTCCCACAAATGTGAAATTCGTCATATAAATTACACTACCTTGCAAACCGTACAGATTTTCCACTTGTTTTCCTTCTGCCTCTGATGGAAAAAAGTTATCTTTCTTGTATCACAGTATTGTGAAAAGTGTGTCGTATATTTAACTACTTATTTATTGGAAGTTGAATAAACCATCATATTTACTCTATTTAGCACCCCTGTCACTAATACAAGTGTCCCTTGGGTCTTTTTTCAATCAATGTCTATTAAAATATACATTTGATTAAGATGACTGATATACATTTTAGTACTGTACATTTATTGTAATAGCAGCCAGGCCTAATATATTAGCACCCCCCCCCCTTTTTATAATTTTTTCAAGTGCCCCAGGCATTTAATAGGTTGAATTTGCTCTTTCCTATATAAAAAGCAATTGTGTACTTTTAAGTTACTGTAAACAAACTATTATTCGCGTCATCTTTTATTCGCGATTCGTCAGTTTGAAATCAATCTGCGACGATTATTTTCCGCGAGCAAGGAAACATTCTCTACAAATCCTTAGCAAAATGAATGCTTCGCTGCGATTAATATTCGCGGGTTAAAGAAGGTCGCGGAACTCGCGGATATTTCTCGCACGCGAATAAAAGTTGGTTTACAGTAGATGGTATAAACTGAAATTATGGCAGTGCAAAATTATCTCACGCAAATTTGAAAAGAGATGGAATATGTTTTCTAGCAAATGTATTTACTCATTTCCTTTGAATGAAGTGCAGATGTATGATATGATCTTGAATGCTATTGATATCTTGTATTTAACAAGAGGCCCATAGGCCTTATAGGTCACCTGAGTATCATGTAACAACTTGCCAGAATTAAATTGGGTACACATTTTAAACAAGAAACTATGAAATTCAGTATTTTGAAAGAGGCATCCTTGCTCATCATAACTATACATTTAGTTTGTTCACTTAATATTCAGAAGCAGAGCAGAAGAAAATCAAAGAATTAATGCATTTTCATTTTATTTTGCGAATTCGGTAAAGGTGTTGATTAATTTTTACCAAAATTTTGGAACTCTTCACACTTTCTTCATAATTTATTTTTAAGAAATTTTTTGGAAGAGGTGCCAATTTGCTAAAAATAACCATATACAAAGTTTATTGCATTTTCATATGGAAAAGAATTTCCATAGAATTATTTTATTTTTACTATGCTATTGAAATTTTTTGGAAGAGGTGCCAATGCTCATCATAACCATATACAAAGTTTATTGCTTATTAATATGGAAAAGAATTTCCAAAGAATTATTTTATTTTTACTATGCTATCATTAGAGCCCTACCCTAACACCCCTAACCTAAGGGTCATGAATTTCACAATTTGGGAAAAGACACACTTCCTCATCATAACTATGTATGTAATTAGTTTGTTTAATACACAGGAGCAGAGAAGAAAATTTTTAAAGAAATATATATACATTATCACTGTATATTCAACAGAGCCTTACCAGAGCACCAAAACCCCTGACCAAGAGGCCATGAATTTCAAGATTTTGGAATATGTAGGAGCCACAAATTAAAAAATTTCTGTTCCCCATTATCCACAGATGCTATATGCCAAAATTCGCTGAAATTGGTTCAATGGTTTTAGAGAAGAAGCTGAAAATGTTCAAATGGTAATGCAGGACAGACGGCCAACGTACGACAGACGGCCAAAAACAGATAGCCATAGTTAACTCAGGTGACCTAAAAATACAAGTAATACTGCAAGAAAGCAAAAATAAATCGTTTGTCTGCTTCAGATATTTTGATTTTTTTTCCTTATATAGTTATATACGAGGGGTTATCAAAAAGTTCGTGGACTGAGGCTATAAAATTAGTACTATATAGTCTGAGCTTACGAAATTTTTAAAGAAATAAAACAACAAAAAATAAACAAATATTAAAAATTTTAGCTTGATACGTTCATTATTTCCCAAATTATTATGAAATAAAAACGACATTATAGCATCACCCGGCGCCGTCGCCGTTTAGTTTTATGACGTCCGACAACGTCATTGTTTTTCAATGTCTGTTTTTTCTACCTCATTCACTTATTTTGATGAGATTCCCTGGAGCTGAGGAAGGACGTCAATCCGTCTTGTTTATATGACTATACAATGTCATGAACAGCGGCTTTCAATGCATATGATATTCCAAATGGATTAAGACAATGGAAGAGATTCTTACTTGATTCTGCCAGCATATTTTGCTATTTGGAGTTCAATATCAGCAACACATGATCAACGTCATTTTTTGACGTGATTGATTTTTCTCATCTTGACTACTAATCGACATTAACTGTGCATTCCTTTTCTCTCTGAATCTATTTCAGCAAATAAGTTATCTGGGTGTTTATTGTTTTTCCGTAGCCGGTTTTAACATTTCTTAGGTGTGTACCAGTTTTTCTAGGGGCAAAACTTTATAGAATGTTGAAAAAGGAAACTCCTACCCCCTTTTGACGTCATTTTCAAGGCAATATTTGTTTGGATACTCCATATAAAATTTACGATAAAATTTCATAGAACTTCCAGAATGAGGTAAAAATTTACTATTTTATGGAACAATAGTGTCCCAACACATACCTGAATTAACGGGATATTTGGATGTCAAATGTTCATACCATAATAGTTTTTCTTAGCTACAATTAGGTCGAAAAAAAACGTCGTTTCGAGGTTGCGCCGCATGGACATACCATTGCTTACAAAAACATTACTAATTTATTAAAAAATAAAATTTGTGATCTGTGATTTATTCTATAGATAGAAAAGATGATGATAACTAGATATTTTAAAATTCATTCATGTACCTAAAGCGGTTTTAAGTTTATGGCGCTAGTCCACGAACTTTTTGATAACCCCTCGTATGTATTTCGTTAAGTCTCAACAAAGTTACCCAATTTACCCATTAGCCTCTGGTAGTTCGCTGTCTATGTCATAGTTCTCTGGTACAGCATCAAAGGTGTGGCTTGGCAGTGGGGTAGGGGGCATGGTCCGGGTCACGAGGGGGGTGTGACTACTTGCCCTGCTGCAGGCGGCAGACATGTTTCATCCATCGAGTGAGTCTAAGATCTGCAAAATAAAATGTCACTTCAAGTTTTCCTTTCAAAACCACTGTTTCAGTACAAATATGAACATTATTTTTGCATTTTGTTGTTATACATTCTGAGATAAAGTCTTATTAGCTTTACTAGGTCAAAAAATACATCAATAAAATAAAGGTATATTGCATCTGCAAAAATAGTGTTACTTTAATCAAACTGACCCTATATTTGATGGAAAGAAATTTTCTGTAGGTACTCATTTTATATAGCTACCGGGTATATACCATATGTCTAAAATCCCTTATTGAAAAATCTTCCTTTGCTTCCTTCAAAAATATTGAATTTGACATCCTTGTTTGAGTTCTGATCCACTTTATAGATAATTGATAATTTCTTTTCTGAATCGTATAAAGAGTAAATACAAAAGGCTCATTGAAAATCTTTCATTTGTCTTGATTGTGTTGCAACAGTAATTCCAGCTGGTGTCAATCTTGGATAAAGAAAAATATATTTACCCAGTATATTGATTCTGTGTAACTGAACACTAAGGAAAAGCTAGCTCTATGGTCTCTCGATATGTTATTCTCAAAATGCAGTAAATTCATATTTTGTCACCTGGTTATCAAATTGGCTTATTACGGGATCAATATGGAAATTTACTGCTGTTAGATCTAATCTAAGGACTGACCCTGAAGGAAGACACAAACACATTACAGGGAATCGTAAAGCTGTTTATCTCCCCCTTATGATCAGTGTCCCACCCAACACTGTCAATATCCTAACAGGTTGTAAATGTGTACCCTGTCTTACTTATGAAAAATTTAATCAAACAATGACATTTCCCGACAGATAAATTTCTAGACAATTTCTTTTATCTTCCAGGATTCACTATCATTCAGAATCAAAATTATTTTCATATTTATGTGTCAATTCAGTGTCAAGGTAAAAAGTATCCTTGATGTTTGCAATTGCAACAATGTATTAAACTACCAAAATATTATCAAGTGCAAATGCATGTCCATGCTTTCAAGTCATATTTGGGATTTATCAGATTTTATCAAAATAATTGTGCCCTATGAAATCCATACTTCAATGAAACTAAAAGCCAATGGAACTTGATGGTCACTTGAATAGAGTACAAGTTTCTCTTGACATGACAAACTTAAACCCCACTTGGAACTCAGATACACAGGAGAACTCTCAAGTCATGTAACATGAATTTTAAAATAAATAGGTTAGGAATTTGTTTTTGTATAAGCTTGTTCCTAGATGAAGAGTAAATAAATTTAAGATTAAGTGTATTGCATAAATGCATTATATTTTGCTAAATGTTCCTAACACAAGAGGCTCAGGGACCATAATGGTCACCTGAGTATGATACAACTCTGCTTCAGCAAAAGCCCTTTCCATTATCCTGAATCAGGGGTTTAAGAAGAGGTACCTGAGTTCATCATATTTTTATAATATGATCATAAGAGCCATGTCCTAAACCAGAAACCCTAACCCAGGTGCCATAAATAACAATGCTGGTTGCATGTTAGTTCGATTGTTTAAATTCTTCAAAAATATTCTTCTATGCTCCATACCAAGCAGACAAACTTAGCTAGATGAGCATATGTTCTATGCTCAACATAACAATTGTTAATGCTTAGCAATATGTCTATCCATCAAAAATAAAATTTCACTGAGCTTACTTCATAGGTATCTCCTCATGTTTAACTTTAAACAATGCATTCCATAAGCTATACAAAAATGTGATCTCTGCAATACAAACCGTTTACCATTTAATTCCCTCGTTAATTCTCTCTTGCCCACAAAGAATGTTTTGAATTCACAAAGCAAAACCAATAATGAGCTATTGCACCAGTGACGAGCATATTCACACCTAACTTGCACCAATACTGCAGACATTATTAAAAATATTAATTCTTAACCATTATCCATACTGAATGAAAGAGATCAAGGGTTATACTTCCATTTACACAGATTTGTTAATGCGCAACATAAATTATAAACCATATTCAAGAATTAATACAAGATTACAAATCTTCAATGAGTGCTACAAAAATTTAACTTAAGGTATAATCAATTTGACTTTTTAAATGCCTATGAAATATCAGTGAAGTGTTTAGTGTTAAATATATTAAAGAATCTTTGATCTTGGAAGTTTATAATGTGAAAAGACAGCTATAATTTTACTCTTCGCAATGTCCAAGGCCACATTGGCATACCAGCCCATATACTTAACACAAGCTTTTCAAGTGCATTGAATCTTTTTTATTCCTAATCATATCTCCCCTAAGAGGAGATATATTGGTTTTGGCATGCTTGTCTGTCTGTTATTCTTTCTGTCTGTCTCAAAATAAGGTTAAGTCTCTAACCCTTGAATGGAATGGGTTATAACTAAATTATACCATTGTCCTTGACCCTTAAGTTTTATCTCAAAGTCACATTTCAAAAGTACAAGTCAATGAACAGTGATGTGTACAATGGTTAGAAATGAATCATTGTAGCAAAAGGCCAGGGATATAATTTAAGAAGAGGGTAGACATTTTCTTTCATTGTCAGGAAACATCTGGTTTACTTTGAATGGAAATTTTAAAGTGTGCAATTCAATGAGCAAAAAAAGCTTTTCCATTATTTTGAAAGCAGAGGGTATCTATGTGCCCAATAAGCCTCTCCGTATCCACTTATTTTGGTTGGAATTGTAGATACATCCAGAGATATAAGTAATTAACAGTCTTCATTACTTTGCAATACACCCCCTCCAATCCACACCCTTATGTACCCTTCCACCTCCCCCCACAAAAGCCATGTGAATCTTGAATCTATTTTTTTACCCTGCAAATATACATACATTAAAAAATCATTCATAATTTCTTTGTATTTCCAATCTTTATCCAGGGTAAATCTTATACTAACACAAAATAGCAGTGTTCATTTTTTTCTTTCCCAACAAATGAAATACAGCATATTTGTTGCATTTTATTTTGTCGTTATGACATTAAACTGTACATTTCACACTCTGTAAACAACTACTTACAGGTTTTGTTGAAACTCACTGAGTGGAAATAAAGCCAATCAAAACTCAATGCACACAGATAGATAGCTTCTTTGTCAGGCAATTCCAATAAACAAACACCTTAACATTCACTGTTGAACCCTCAGAGCTATTTTCCATTCCCAGACAACATCAAATGCAGAAACAATGCCATGAAATTTCTCCTTAATTTTCTTTGTAATTACTTTGGCATTTGATCCTCATTTATTGATCCCAGTGGAAGAATTCTTCTGTAAGTAAGTCCTATGTTTGTTTTTATCATGTAGAGTTTTTCCAGCATTGGACAATCTCCATTTATAAACTGTTACCTTTTATTTACTTATATCAAAGCTATAGAAAAGTTCACTAAACTATGCAACAGAAAACAAGTCATAGAAAAGCGAACTTGTGTAAATATTCTATTATTTGTTCAAATTTTTAATTCTGGTGTGATTTTCAGGTTTAAATTCCTATTAAAGTGGTAAATAAGACCCTTTTTTACTGGCCTGCACTTGCCCCATTGCGACTCTATGAATAGTTACAGTTTATTTCGGTGTGTTGGGATTTTAGTAGCAGTTTAATTTTTTCCTGCTGTTCAAATAATCTTTGATTCAATATTGATAGAAATTTACTGCCCTCTTCAAATGTTTTGGTGCCATTTTAAAATCCAATATACCATGATCATAAAATCTGCTTTAAGAATCATATTATTTTTAATAAATAGGTCCCAAATACTTAACACACTTTTAATTATATCAATAAAAAAGACATTCAAATTTTGAAAAACCTGGCGGTTGTTTATAAAATGAAATTCTTTCAATGCTCAAATACAATGAAAACCAACAAAATATTTAGACACAGGAAACTATATCAAAGTTAGCTTAAAATCACTTCAATATTAAACAAAGTCCAGGCAATCAAGAAAAACCCTGTAAGCTATGAAATACATGGAGTTAGATGCAACTCTAGGAAACAACAAAAAAGCTTCTCAAGACTCAATGACTCATGTATAAAAAGGTCCCCAATGCATATATTAATTGGTACAATGCTGAATCCTCTAAGTCAACATCATTCTTATCATGTATACATGCATATATATATTTATATATACATGACATTGGTACCCCCTTCCCCTTAAAAAATATTTTTTATAAATTTAATTCAATTAAGAATCTTCAATGTAGAGTTGCAAATAAGAATTTTACAATTCTCTTTTTACCATTACTTCTTTCAACAGACATAAAGAGTGTGCTGATTGGGAAAAAACAAGCACTTTATTGATTAATCATAAATGATAATTACATAGATTCAATTCCCATTATAATAATATAAAGAGCAAACATTTAGACAGAAACAATTTATAAATGTACTTATTGAAACATTTATCCTTTTTATTCTGGTTTTAAATTTGAAAAGTTATTAAACTTTTAACAAAGCAAGATCCTTTCAGCTGACTTAATTGATGAAAAAACTACTAAAACATGTTAAATAGGATGTGAAAATAGTGCATGTTTTGCCTATTTTACTAATTCTTATTCACAGAAATTGATATTTTTTCTGCCTATGATACCTAACTCCACTTTAATACAAATTTGATAAATTGGTAGAATATAAAAAAAATGAACTACTTCATTTTTGTTAAACCTATTATTGATCAAGCTATGGTACAAGTTACAGCCATGTTGTGGTTGTAGATATTTCTTTGTCAAAAAAAACTTAAAGATGTGATGTAAGAAAACACTTGTTGTTGGATTACTAATCTGATCATAACCTGGTGGTATTTTATACCTCGTGAAATAACTTAGGACAGTTAACTTTGGTATAAATTTTAGTCTTTTTTTTTGGGGGGGGGGACATTTTGCTTGCATATTAGAAAAAATAAAAATTGGAAGTATCTAGTGAAGGAAAACATATTTTTACAGTATAACAAGTCAGAGTTGAAAAAGTTGCCATTCCTTCAGCTTGTTGATATAGGGAAAGAAAAGAAA